CTGATCATTGGTACCACTCTTTTCAGGCAAAAATGTAAGAAACTCTATCGTCTTTTTCTGTTAGTTAACTCGGTAATGGCTCTTCTTGAATAGGCCACTTTAGCTGCTGTGCAAACCAATTGAAAGAGACAAGGGGCTAGAAGGAGAGATTGGACAAACTTGGAGTGTTTTCACTTGAATGTCAGAGATTGAGGGGTGATCTGACAGAACTACATAAAATTTTGAGAAGCATGGATAGGGTGGATAGTCAGATTCTTCTTCCCAAGGTAGAAATGTCAAAATCTAGGGTGACATAGGTTCCAGGTGAGAGGGAAAAGTTTAGAGGAGATGTGTAAGGCAGAGTTTTTACACAGAGGATGGTAGGAGCCTGGAACGTGCTACCAGGTAAAGTGGTAGAAGCAGATATGATAGTAACATTTAAGAGGCATTTTGACAGACACAGGCAGGGATTAGAGGAACTCAGACCATGTGCAGATAGATGAGATTAGTTTAGAATGGTCAGCATAGAGATGGTGGGGCGAAGGGCCTGTTCTTGTGCTGTACTGTTCTATGTCCTCTGTACTCAGACCCATCCTTTCATAATGTTAAACTCTCTATTAAATCAGGTTGTAGACATGCTCGCTGAGCGGTGTGTTTGGTTGCAGACGTTTCGTCACCTTGCTAGGTGATATTGTCAGTGCGACTCCGGTGAAGCATCGGTGTTCTGTCTTGCCTGTTATTTACATGCCTCGGTTTGTTGGGGTGCTTGGTATTACTTCCGGTTCTGTTTCTCAGTGGTTTGTTCACAGGGTCTAATTCAATGTGTTTGTTAATGGAGTTCCGGTAAGAATACCAGGCCTCCAGGAATTCCCTGGCCTGTCTCTGTTTGGCTTGTGCGATTGTGGATGTGTTGTCCCAGTCGAGTTCATGTCCCTCTTCGTCCGTGTGTAGTGAGACCAGGAGTTCCTGGAAGCCTGGTATTCCAACCAGAACTCCATCAACAAACACATTGTACACCCTGTGTACAAACCACTGAGAAACAAAACCGGAAGAGGTACCAAACACCCCAACAAACTGAGGCATGTAAATAACAAGTGGGACAGAACACCAACACTTTACTGGAGGCGCACTGAAAATGTTACCTACCAGGGTGATGAAAGGTTTACAACCAAACCCACTGACTGAGCGAGCATGTCAATAACCTAATCCACAACCTGAGCTACAAATCTTCTCGAAAATCTCTATTAAATCACTGTGAATTCGCGTTGTTCTCACAAAAACAATAGAGTTTTTCAAGACTTCCTTCATATTTGAATTTTCTCAACCTGAACAGAGTACCTGTGAATATAATTGTACCACTCTTTAGTCTTGATATAGATATGGTATGGAGTCCGTTATTATGCACTTTATTGTGAGCAAAATCTTAGCGTTTTACATTGAGTTCTCGAAGTTTAGATTTCTTATGATAAATGTGAAAACTTTTCCCAGAATCTGGAGTAGTAAACGTAAAAACATAAGGATTTAACCACTAGGAACAGGAGTAGACAATTCAACCTCTTGAGCCTGCTCCATCATTCAATATGATCATGGCTGATCTCATCGTTGGCTCAACTCCACTTTCCTGCCCACTCCCCATAATTTTTTAACCCATTACTAATTAAAATTCTGTCTAACTCCTCCTTAGATTTTTTTCAGTTTCCCAGCATCCACTGCACTCTGGGATAACGAATTCCACAGATACCCGATCCCAATCTCAATTTTAAATCTGCCACCCCTTAGACTAAAATTATGACCTCTTGTTCTGGATTGCTCACAAGGGAGAACAATCATCCTACCATCTACTTTGTTATTCCCCTGTAGCATTCTATATACCTCAATTAGATCTCTCATTCTTCTGAGTTCTAGCAAGTATAGGCTTCAACTATTTAATCTCTCCTCATAAGAGAAGCCTTTCATGTCTGGAATTAATCTAGTGAACCTTCTTTGAAATGCCTCCAATGCAGTTACATCTTTCCTCAAGTAAGGGGGCTACAACTGTGCAGAGTACTCCAGATGCAATCTAACCAAATTCTTGCACAGTTACAACATTTCCCTCCTATTTACTCCATTCTTTTAGCAATAAATGCCAAAATTCCATTTGACCTTCCCAACACTTGCTGTGCCTGCATACTAGATTTTTGTGACTCATATACAAAGACACAACAATCCCTCTGCAAAGGATTTTGAGGCATTAAAAAGTTGCAGTTGTTGTAAATCTGAACAAATCCAATAGTTACAGTTAAAACATCAATACTTTCCCTTTCTTACCTATGCTGTCAGATTTGCTGAATGTTTTAAGCAGGTCAAATTTTACCTCAAAATGTAAAACTACTTCTTTCTCTCAGCCTCTGTTCCTTTCAATCTTGAGGCTTTCAAGATTCAAGCTTGGCAGTCCCTAATCACGACTCCCAAATTGGTCTTTTTTTTAACTCTTATATTGTTCTGCGCTATGGGATTGGGTTTTTCTTTTGGTCATTACTATGTAGTTCTAAAATTTTAAGTCTACTTTCTAAAAAAAAATCTTCAGTTTAATATATTCACATACAGTATTTAAAGCATTTTTGTGTATTATCTTATTCACTGAATTTCAGAAAAAAATACATTTCTGCGATGCATTTGACATTATTTAACATCTTTGAGAAAATTCTTTCAAAGAATCATAGTCCATTACAAAATAAATCAATCTTGACTTTCTTATCTGATAGGACCTTTGCCTTTTCCTTCCTCTGGAAAGAATTGTAGAATATTACCTTATAGATTCACATCAACTCAAGTGGCCAGAATTTAGTAAGTATATTTATTGGGAACTACATTAATTTCCGATGACTCATTTTATCAACAAAGACTGTAAGGAAATGATCTACGCTCTGGCGTGTACCTTGTGCATCATTTATGATTGCTTTTGAACACAAAAGCACTTATTTTATTTCCACCCACTTCTCGCCTGCATTTCAGCCAAGAACATAAAGTCCCAGATATAATGGAGCCTTATAGAGTGGAATATATTACATCAACATCATCATTAGGAAATGACACTTTTCCTCTCTTTGTCAAACCGAAATCCACATTACTGCAGCCACAATGCTGGAAATGCATTCTATTGAAAAGCAGGAAACTCTATGCAGTACGTACTCTGTTAGCAAAAGTGAGTCTACCCAATGTGTTTTATTCATAAGTACTGAACAATGCACACAGTGCTGTCTAATTTTCTGGAAACTTATGTCTTTCTGTTAACAGCAATAAGCAAAAGTGACTAGATATTTAATGTATGTGAAAATCAACAGCATATTCTTTTAAGTTATCAAGACTGTAGGAAGCTGAAAACATCAATGCTATCCTGGCTTGGAGCTATATCACCATTGACTCCTTCTCTAACAGAACTGTGAGTGCACCTACAAAAGTTCAAGAAGGCAGCTCGTCACCATCTTCTCAGGAACGTTTTGAAACGGTCAACAAATGCTGGCCCAGTCAGCAACATCCACATCCCCTTAATGAATTTGTAATAAGTTGGAATACATCCTGCCAGAGACCTCCTGAGATGACAATGCCAAGGTTTGTGCCAAGATACCTTAATTGGTTTAAGGAAAGTTTAAGAAAATAGTTCAAGTCTCGCAACAAAGATATATCCCAATGAAGAAGACTGATTCTAGAGGAGAGATAAACCAACCATGTGGAACCAGAAAATGGCACAGGAATTGAACAAATTCTTCACAAATTAGAAACAGTAGAAGAAACTCATATCATTCTAAATATACTAAATAATCAAGCGAGAACAGTAGGAGAGAAAATAAATACAATAACTGTCACTAGAGAAAAGAAGTACTAGGAAAACTAATGGTCTAAAGGCTGATATATCTCAGCCAAATGAATTGCATGCTGGGATATTAAAGGAAGTAACTACAGAGAAAATGAATGCATTGGTCGTAATCTTCAAAGTTTATTATAAAGGACGTAACAGCAAATCTTTTAGAAATATATAACATAATCAAGCCGAATCAGTATGACTATGAAGGGGTAATCATACCTGAAAAACTTTTTTAGAATTCTTTGAGGAGATGACAAACAGGATAGATAAAGGGGAACCAGTAGATATAAGAATCGGCCCAGCAGTGAAAGGGTGGTAAGCTCAGTGTTCGTTGGATCCAGTGTAGATGATGTCAGGGCAGTGGAGGAAGGATGGTGGTGCAGGTATCATTGATGTTGAGCTAGCTCAGGACTGATAGATTCTCTTTAAGATATATTGTTTTATTTTTTTCTTATTCTTAGAACTAGTCAAAATGGCGCAGGATCTTGGCAACAGTGGGAAAGCATTTCACTGTATTTTACTGTTTTTCTCACCATAAAAAAAACTGACAATAAAGTAATAAATTTCTGTTTGAATATTTGCCTATGTTTGGAAAAACTGCAGCTAATCATATATACCACTATCACTGTTCCCCAAGTCCAGTAAAATAAATCCATTGAATAAAATTTAACCTAAGTCACCAGAGTTAAGTGCAAATAAATACTTAAATAATGCAAATTGCTATAAAAACTATCAGCAGCATAATGCAAAGATGAATGCTTAATTCGTTGTTCTTTCACGCCTTTATGATGGATAGTGCCAAGATTTTGGTTAAACCTTTATTTGATATAATATCAAACCTTGTAACTGAAGAATTACACCCATTACTTGTAGCTGGTTTTCATTGGAGAACTGTGAATGGATTGTTATGAATTTCTTCATATAAATTTCTCTGGAGAATCCTCTTTAACATCATAGTGTAGCATTATAATGTTGAGCTTATCCAGTAGTTCCCTTGATAGTCAACATATTTCATGATTCTATGAGAAAAGAATTGGTCCTGATGTGATTGAGATAGAATATCAATTCTTTCCATTGTCAGGTAATACATTCCTTTATCTGTGAAATATTTACAAACGCTGCACAATTGCCATATTTTGCCACATCCTTGCTAAATGTCATTACACATCCCTTACCAAGACAGCACAAACAGATTACTCCACTTGTAAAAGTACTTAGATGGAAGTACTGACTAATTGTTCCAGATTATTGGAGGCAGGAGAGGAGTTACATTATACTTACAGAGCCTATTATTGAGCTGGAAGTTCTCAGATTAATTTTACTGAATCAGATTCTTCTCCAAATCATCTACATATACAACTAACTGGAGATATAGAAGCCACTAGCAATTCAGTGATGATGCATTGATTAAATGGTGATTGTTGAAAAACTGTGCAACAGTGGAAGTTGATGCAGTTGAGCAGGATCATATATTCACCATAATTCACAATCCAAAATATGTGGATGTTAAACATTTCTGGGGAAAGCATGTTCAATTTATTTATCATTTCTCCAGAACTAGCAGCCAGATATAATCTCTGTGAATTCATTTATCAAGCCAGATTGACTGATGAGATGAAATCATCTCACAGACGTCCAAACAAGCATTATTTATAACAACAATTACTGCAAAATACTGCAGAATGGAGCTTTTTTTATTGACTAATAATTTGCTAGCCCTGGATACTCAAGTAAACAATACTCAAAGGCTGTCCTTGGGCAGGTATGTTTTAGTTTATTTGGTTGAATACCATTACAAGGAGCATTTACCCACCGCACAATACAAAGGCAAAATACTGTTGACACTGGAAAATCTGAAATAACAACAAAAAAAAGCTGAAAATTCTCAGCAGGTTATGCTGCATCAAGTTTACATCCTTGAATGTAAACATAGCTTTACACCAAGCCCCACACGTTAGAGACGGCTCCCACAAAGGTGTGATTTTTGGATCTGTGTCATCCTTCATCTACTAATGACAACAGAAGTAACGTGGCCATTACTTTGGTCATGAGGTGTGCCTGTAAATGAACTTGGAATTTTCCTTTCAAACAAAGGAGAATGATTGGTTTTGATATAAATTATTGCGGGGCATAACAACTGCTTAAGCATCTGGAAAACTTTGCCACATCACGAAAGATCCAGGCATGGCAGTCAACTCAATATATGAGCATTGAATGAAATATTGAAGGTCATGGCAACTATCTAAGTGAGGTCAACTGGATTGCAACTTTCATAGGGCAATAAGTTGGACAGGGAGTGAGTTCAGAATATTTCTATTTAATTGAGGCCTATTCTCCTGATCACTGGCAAATAGAATCATATTGCAGCATCAATAGGGAAGATGGTGTGCTTCTCCTTCTCATGATTGCAGCAAAGAAAGCGACTAAATAAACTCCCTGTGGAACGCTGCAGGTTCAGATTGCAAAGGAGCCCATAACCAGCAATCAACTTGTTGTTTTGAGATCTGGGGAACATTGAGATAATAGTTTCCTACATTTCATGAGGCTTATTAATATTTCTCATCAAACATCTATATCTCCAGTGTAAGGCCCACGAATAGTACTTAGGACTGTTACAGTAGAACAGAATTTACACAGCTTGTTTCGACTGCATCTGGAGTACATTTAGCACTAAATATTGCAGTGTAATCCACCTTGCCTTGGAAGAGATGCTGCACAGATTCATCAGATTAATACAGGCCAGAAGTATTATATGATATACAGTAGAGGAAATGTGGAATTCCCCACTCAAGAATTCCAGACCAATTGTGGCCAGACCAATTGAAACTGTCAAAACTGAGAGTCATCGATCTTTATTAGGTAATGACATCAAAAGGTAAATGCAAAACTTCTGTGACAGTGTTAGCATCTCTGAGTCACTGAAAGCCTCACACTTTAGTTTTAAATGCGGTCAAGGGTCATTTATTTTCCAGAATATCTTCAGCACTCACTTATTCCTCCAAGCAGCTGGTATTGCACAACAATGGGAATACTCTATACCTCACATCAGGTCATCACTTAATCTAGATGATGGTATCATCAACTTTGTCTCATGTCTCTCTACGTATACAAAGTCAGGCATGATGGAAGTGGCAGATGATCCTAGCGAGAGGATAGTAACTCTCAGGCAGACAGACATTAACAGGCAGTCACCAACAAGATGTTTACATCTCCAGGGTACTCTTCTGACGAAAAACCGAAAGAACTGTGGATGCTGTAAATCAGGAGCAAAAGCAGAAGTTGCTGGAAAAGCTCAGCAGGTCTGGCAGCATCTGTGATGAAAAAAATCAGAGTTAACGTTTCGGGTCCGGTGACCCTTCCTCAGAATGGGAACTTCTGTTTTTGTACTCTTCTGAAGAAGTGGATTTCTAGCTTTGGACTGTGTAAGTTTGGGACTTTACTATCATTCCATTGTTAGCAGTAAAACCTAATTGCAAAAATGTTACTCATAGTAGAAATGACTACTGCAGTTTTGCATCTAATCCTCAGCAAGAGTAAGGAAGCTGAAAATGGATATTGTATTAAGAGATCATGCAATTAAAGTAGTTAAATAAAATTGTGATACAGATCCTTTATGATCTACTTGAGTGAGAAAATCACTTGAAGGGCTGAATAGGAACTCTTGTTCCTATTTTCATGCACAGTATTCAAAATGTATACATGTATTCGAAATGCATATATGTGTTAGAATACTTTTTAGTATGTGCCAAAACTAAATATCTCTGATCTGGAGAAGTGAACTGTAATTTAATTCTGAACATACCTGACATAAGAAAATTTTTCCTTACTCTTTCTTTCTTTTTTGAAAGCAGCCTTATTTTATGCTTATTTTCTGGGCACTGATTATTTTATAGCACCTTATCGAAATGTCCATTCTTCATGTATGAGCTTTGACCATAAATATTAATGTTCCCTTGATGCAAGCTTTGACAAGACTATCCTGCTTTCATCTGAAGTCATCTAGTCTAAAATACATCCTGCATTTAGAAGAACACTGAACAGCAATCAAATGGGACAGTAGGAAAACTTAGACAATTCTAAAAATTGCGGAATGAAATTGACTCAGTCTTTAAGATGGGAGATTTCATGGACATGCTTTCACTTGGCCGAAAAGAACAGAAGTAGAATATAAAATGGACATATTTCATCCTGCATTATAGTCATTTCAAATAATCTGCTACAAAAGTTGAAGAATGAATTTGGCCCTCTTGCAGAATCTTAAATTCCCCAAATTTCTAACATTAAAAAGTTAAGCTTACTTAATCAAGCCCAATGGATATCATTGAGTGTATAACTATAATTCAGACTTGGCATTTTTACATTATTCACCATTTAAAAAAAAAATCTTTAAATGAGTGTTGACAATTTGGAAGAATAATGTAATTATCCATTTGAACATCTTGTACTAAAATATTTGCTTCATAAAGTTACAAATAAAATTAGAACGTGTCTCAATTTCAAGCCCGATAATGTGTTGATTTGCTTTACTAATTTTATTAAATCTTCAATAAGATGCTGTTAAAAATATTGTACTGATTGTTAACTGTCAAGTTCTACTTAAATTGTTTGTGTGCAGAATCAGAATTGAACAATTATAATAGCTTTCCCTCTTTATAATTTTATGTATCCAACAATTTCTTGGAAAATAATGTGTCAAATTTATGGAACCATCTATTTTTCTGTTGTTCAATATATATGATTATGAGTGCAGAAGTGGTGCCTGTTTGTTTCCGAGTCTGTACCATACGACTCCAAGGGGAAAACATCAACGCTGTCAAGCTCTGCCCCCACCCCCCAACCAAGCATCTTTTTTGGTTCAATAAAAACTCCAATGAGTACAAGCCACCCTACTCAACCTCTCCTCAAAAGAAAATTTCTCCATGCCTGTCATCAGTCGAGTGTAACTTCTCTGGACTACCTCCAATGCCAGTATATCTTTCCATAGATAAAATGGAACAAAACAATTCACAGTATTCCAACTGTGGTCTGATTACTGCCTTCTGTAGGTCTTAGACCTCCTTATTTTTATACTCCATTTCTTTTGAAATAAAGACCAAACTTACCATCTGTTCTACTCACTCGCCACTATCCCCCCACTCCCCATTCTTTGTCAACAGCAAAAAACACTTCAGTGCTGAACAAGAGTCATGCTACACTCAAAGTATTAACTCCGCTTCTCTATCCACTGATGCTGCTGGATCTGCTGAGTTTTAAAGCATGTCTTTATTTCATTTCTTATCTCCAGCAGTATTTTGTTTTTATTTACAAGATTGATGGCTGGAAGGTTGTCTTATGAGAAATGGTTAGATAGACTGGGCCTGTATCTACTGGAGATTAGAAGAGTGAGAGGAGATGTGGTTGATGTACACAAGATCCTGAACGGCCTTGAGAAGACAGACTTAGAAAGGATGTTTCCTCCTGTCCATGACTCCAGGACTAGGGGACAGCATTTGAAAAGAGTCACTCTTCTGGTACAGAGATGTAGCAATTTTTCTTTCCTTAGAGGTTGTCTAGCTTTGGAACGCTCTGCCTCTGGTGGAGTTTGAGGTAGAGTCATTGAGTATTTTTAAGGTGGCGGTTAATGGATTTTTGTTTGTCAAGGAAACACACGGTTAACAGTCATAGCAGGGAATGTGGAATTCAAAGCACAACAGATGAGCCATAATTTTATTGAATGATTGAGTTGCCTTGAAGGACTTCTGCTCTCAACTCATATGTTTGTTCAGTATTGGATAACGCAGAAGACAATACTGGATAAATTTTTCCATATACCATTTGATAAATAATACTCTCAATTTGTTAGATGTACATTTTACAAAAAGAACAAAATATAAGTTTTGGTTATAAATATATCCTTTTAAACCACTTTTAGCAGCATCTGCACTTTATATAATTCAACATGACATACACATTGTGGATATATGATACTTAAATGTCAATAGGTGTTTTACCTCCTCAATCAAAAGTATTATCATCAAATCTCAACTAGTGAAAAGAAAAGTGGCATTTTTTTACAAAAGAAGTAGACTGGAAGAATCAATATTTACATTGTTACCTTTTGGAATTAGATATATTGAAAATATTCAAAGATGATTTCTTACGATCATAACAATATTTTTAGTAGAAAGCTCAAATTGATTGTAAAGACATGGTACACTGAAAGTATTCACTAATCATTTGCCTTTTGTTGCTGCTATTCAGACTATGAGTAACATTCCCATCACTAAATCTAAGGAATCTGATTTGATCAAAGATGGAATAACTCAGCTTTAGAATGGCAATGATGCAAGACTAACCTGATCCAATATTGAGATGTTTGGATTTGCACAGTGTTTTGAAACTTTAAACTTACAGTAAACTAAATGCATTGTTCACAGTGCTTTCTCGGAAGTTGAGGTTTGGTTAAAGACGTCACCCTGTTAAAAAATATTCATTTGTAACTTTACTTAACACATTTTACAAAAATAATTTCCTTCATAGAAGGAACCCATTACTAAAGTGATCAATGGAAATAAAAATTTTAAAAAGTATTTTGTAGTTATCATAATTGCCAAAATCTACACCAATGATTTTCATATCTCTAGTTATCAATAATACTGGTTAAGATTCCTTATCACAGGCAGTTCTGAACCTCCATTCATCCAGATTTCTTGTATTATCCTATCTCGACGCTCAATGCGTTCAGCCATCTCTGCTGCTTCTGTGTTGTTGGATCCTGTCATGCTGTAAAATTTTGTTAATCCTTCAAAGGTGAAGTCCAAGGAGCTTTCTTCATTATCATCACTGCTTTCATCTTCATCATCATTACTGTTGCCCTCATTTCCACCCTCATCCTGACAACAATCCACCTTCCTATCATCAGAATTCTTGTTGCAAATCTTTTGTAGATCTGGTCTGCAGGACACTCGAATCACTAATACGCACAGTGTGAAGATTAAGCCAATGCAGACACTGGATATAAACAACAAACCAACCATTTCTGGATTATCTGCAACACAGAAACATTACACAAACATATTATATAAATATCCTTGACTAGCACAACTGCATGAATAAAACACAATATGTTCTTCAAAGATCTGAAAAGATTGAATAGAAAAGATTGAAAGGAATAGCATATATTCACAAGAATTGTAGCAGGATTAAAAAGGTTAAAGTATGCATATAGATTGCTTAAACTAGGATTACATTCCTGATAGTCTTCATAGTGATGGGCTGAAATTTACCAAGAATCAGTTGTGTCAATTTCATGGGGAGTTTCATGGAGGGTCTCTCCCCATGAGTTCCAGCAAGTTATCTCATGCAATTCTCCACTGATCACCCCATTTCATATGCATCGTGTCTCTAAGGTGTGCGCTCCTGCTAACTTGCACCCACCAGAGGTGAAAGTACTCGCCACTGTTGGGATCTTCTGGCTGTCCCATTGCTGGTGATACATTTGAGGTCCAGCTATGCACTAGGTCAAACATGGCAGCCAGGAATAGCCCTTCACAGAGCGTTTCTGCACAATTCCAAAGAACATGGCTGAGGATCATGAAGGGAGCGATGATCTAGTGATATTGTTGCTGGGCTAATAATCCAGAAACTCAGGTAATATTCATGGCAGATGGTGGAATTTGAAATTAATAAAAATCTGGAATTAAAGGTCTGAAGACAACCATGAAAGGTTTTGGAGTAGATCTGTAGCTCAGGTTGTGGGTGTTGAGGTTAGTTGGCTTGCCGAGCTGGTTTGTTGTTCCGCAAGACGTTTCGTTACCGTGCTTGGTAACATCCTCAGTGCAGCCTCTGATGAAGCGTCAGCGTGTTTTCCTGCCTGGTTTTTAAACTCTGGGGTCAGTTGCGATGGATTGCCTCACTTCCGGGTTTCCTCCGTAGTGGAATGTATACGGGGTCGAGTTCAATGTGTTTATTAATAGCATGCTTCGTGGAGTGCCATGCTTCCAGGAATTCTCATGCTTGTCTCTGCCTAGCCTGTCCCAGGATCTTGGTGTTGTCCTAGTCGAAGTCATGGTTTTCCTTAACCATGTGGATCGAGATGAGTGAGTATTGGTCGTGTCTTTTTGTAGCCAGTTGGTGTTCATGTACTCTTGTTGTTAGTTTCCTTCCTGTTTGTCTGATGTAGTGTTTCTCGCAGTCTCTGCAGGGGATCTTGTAGATGACATTGGTCCTGTCCATGGCGACGAGTGGGTCTTTAGTTCGGGTGAGCACTTGTCGTAGGGTTGATGTGGGCTTGTGTGCCACTCTGATGCCCAGCGGTCGTAGAAGTCTTGTGGCAAGTTCTGACGTGTTCCTGATGTAGGGTAGTGTGATGAATGTGTCGGGGCGTGTAGAATCTTTCTGATGCTGTTCCCATAGGCATCTCCTGACCCTGGAGATGCTACACTACATTGGACAAATGGGAAGGAAACTAACAACAAGAGTACATGAACACCAACTGGCTACAAAAAGACACGACCAATACTCACTCATCTCAATCCACATGGACAAGGAGAACCACGACTTTGACTGGAACAACACCAAGATCCTGGGACAGGCTAGGCAGAGACAAGCATGAGAATTCCTGGAAGCATGGCACTCCACGAAGCATGCTATTAATAAACACATTGAACTCGACCCCGTGTATATTCCACTACTAAGGAAACCCGGAAGTGAGGCAATCCATCGCAACGGACCCCAGAGTTTAAAAACCAGGCGGGAAAACACACCGACGCTTCATCAGAGGGTGCACTGAGGATGTTACCAAGCACGGTAACGAAACATCTGCAGAACAGCAAACCAGCTCGGTGAGCCAACCAACCTCAATACAACCATGAAATCATTGTCAAGTGTCATAAAAGCTCATCTGGTACAACATCTCCATCAGGAAGGTAACTGCTGTCTTATATGTGACTCCAGACCATCACAATATGGCTGCTTCTTAGCTGCCTTCTGAAAAGCCTAATAAGTCACACAGTTGTAAGAGCCATTCTGAAATGAAAGAGAAAAGAATGGAAACGAAAAATCCCCTGACATCGATTAAGGCACCGGAAATGACAAAGGCAAACTCAGCCCTGATGAACTTGCAAAGTTCTCTTTACTAATATCTGGGGCTAGTGCCAAAAGGAAGCTCTCCTGATGCCAATAAAAATTTTCAGTTTCCTGCTTCATTCCAAGGGTCAGATGCCTTACAAGGATAGTTACTGGGAGACAAGAGCTACCCTTTGTGATCATGGCTGAAAACTCTGTTACTCCAGACTAAACTGAAGTGTAGATGTAATGTTGCTCATCCTTCCACCAAGGCCTTTTGGGGCAAATGATAGAAGATGCTTGGATTTATCTGGGAATGGGGGCTTGCAATACAAGACAGAGTGTGCACCAAAAACTTTGCATATTGTGTTCTGAACAACTGAAGTTGGAAAAGATGGCTCCTGATGGACGCTGAACAGCCAGGAAAGTGGAAGAAATCTTCTGACAAAGATGATGAGTTCATTGATAAGGAGGAACATCACCTTCACCATGATATAGCACTGAAGAATCAAGTGCAATGAACTGAACAGAACTTAATTGATACCTGTTTCCAATATACACTGGGTGAAGTAATAAATGATTAACTGTAAGTTTGCTGTTGCATGAAAGAAAAGCATTCCCACAAGGGAATGTAGATTTTTTTGTTTTTACTTTGCTTTCCTATTGTACAATAAAAGTTAACACTTTCAACTCTTCGTAGGCTTTCCAACGTGGGATGCCCTCCACATTGAAAAATGACAAGATGTTACATTACATTGAGCAATGGTGAGAGAGTAGGATGTCTTCAGAGAGAGTCTTAATATGGTATGGTGCTAAAGATGGGTAGTCTGTGTAGCTGCAGTCATAGTGACAATTGATCAGACAGGTGATGATGCAAAGTAGCAATACACTTATGAATGTGAGCTTCTATTTCCAATGAAGTGTCACCCATGTCATTTATATACTGTTAGAATCTGTTCATTTGAGTTTCTCTCGCACAGTGTGTACTGTGAAGTACTAATTGCGGCTGGCAGCCTTGACCTAGACTTTAAATATAACGCTGGCGACAGAGACCCCGAAGATCCCCGCACTGGTGAATACTTCAACCGCTGGTGGTAGAGTGAGTGCAGTGCCATTGAGGCACGATGCATACATTGTGAGGTGTGCAGCGGAGGAACCACATGAGATAACTCACTAGAGCTCACATGGAGAAAAGCCTCATTCCTTTGGGCAAGGGAATCAAAGTATATCAAGGGTAAGTAAAATGGGGAATGTGAAACACAAACAGATCAACCATAAGCTTAATGAATAGCAGAACAGTTTCAAGGAGTTGAATGATCTACTATGTCTCTCAAAATGTTTGCTTGTATGTACATTCTCTGGACTGTAGAAGATTAAAGAGTGATCTAATGGGGGTGTTTAAGGTGATGATCTGATTTGAAAGGGTAGTCAGAGGAAAAGTACTTCTTCCAGTGGGATGGAGGGGAGTCAAGAATAAGGGACATAATCTTAAGACTAGAACTAAGCTCTTCAAAGGTGATGCCAGAAAGTGTTCCTTCACACAAAATCTTGTGGAAGTTTGAAACTTGCTGTTACAGCTGTAGAGATCAGGTCAATTGAAAAGTTCAAAACTGCAATTCATTGATTATGTTAATTTGAGGATACTAAGATATTTAGAACTCAAGGTGGATATATGTTTGTTTGGTCACACAGAACTTAAATAATGTCTTGAAAGTACACATTTTGTCAAGGCTGAGATAGATAGATTTTTGATCTGTAGGGGAATTGAAGCTAATGGGGAAAACTCAGGAAAGTGGATGTGTGAAATGTTGGATCAGCCATGATCCTATTGAATGGTGGAGCAGGTTCGAGGGGCTGAATGGCCTACTCCTGTTCCATTTTCCTGTGGTCAAAGCTTTTTATCCTGATGAATTCAAGATGAAAAGTTTGGCAAAATGCATCTTTGAGCAATTGTAAGTAAAATGTCCTGATCGAGTAAATAAGGGGGAAATAAATTGCCATGAAATACACAATTACATCAATATCGACTAACATACACCAAAATACTGTATACCTACTTTTGATGTAAGCAAATGTAACCAGGGTGCTGATAACAATTTTGCCTTCTTTCAAAGAAAAGCTGTTTTCTTGAGGGCCCAAGGATTTATTGGCTATAAATACAAAAAGAGTTTTAAAATTTAAAACATTTGCTTCACAAAAATCTTTACATACAATTAATTACTTACGTTGAAGAGTAAAGTATATAACAACATTCCACAGACAGATAAATCACCAGTTATTTTTTTCTTTATGGTGTGGCTGGTGAGGTTGAGTTAGGGTGAATAATATTACATGATTTTTAGATGAAGCACAGAGACAAGGAATGTCATTGTAAGGCAGTGAAAAAAGACTACAAAAATGTGCAAATGCATCACAAGAGACTGAAAATCCATGTCAGTAAAATTATTGGAATACAGCCCTCAGTTCCTCATATTTCAGGTAGAATTCTCACCCTGAGCATTGAGATCCATTTGCTTCTCGCATAATAGGAACATATCTCTTAAAATTAGATTACATTTTTCATCCTCCTGTCACTCTTTAAATATGTAGGAATCAATTTAAGTGTTGTCCTCTTACTGGATTAATGGACAAGAATAAAGAAGGCCAACGAAAGGATGGCACAGAAATCAGATTGCATATCTGCTACTACCTTAGCAATTAAACTGTTTAGAACTCTGTAAAAGTCAGATTTTTTAGATAAACATTTTAGGCAAAAATGTAAGCATCGTCTTTTATATAATAACATTTTTGAGAGGCTGACATGTGTGCTTGATTTGGATCCACAAAGCCTCAAAGACAAAAATAAAATCTTGAGTGAAATTCATAAACTGCTATATTGGAGCCTGCTAGCTTTTATAATACTGAACTCCTTCCTCCTAAAGCAAAGGAACTTCCACTGTACAACTGAACTGCTAGCCAGGCACCTTAAAAAAGTTGTTATTAGGACTTTAGAGACTCACTTTAGAAACATGCTATTGTACTCTTCACTATATCTGTGCTGTTGAAATGCCGGTATGGAGAACACAGTCAAAATCAAAAAGACCACAATCTCACTCAGTCAGGAAGTCCAGATCGTTTTGAGGCTGAACAATCCCTTCCTAAAAATTTCCTGGGAGGACAGGTTCACCACCTTTGCCCTCACCAAAATCAGCAAAAAGAAAGAAGACGTTCTAGTGGCATGATTGTCTGTAGGAAACTGATATGTTCAAAAAGGCACAAGTTGAAGAGCCACACTGTTGATGATGCAATGCACAGCTAGTTCTGGATGGTCAGCAAGGAGAAAAGCCCAATTATTGGACTGAAATAACTCCAAGGAGGCAGGTATCCTGTCACCAAGTCACCATTTTTCACATGTGCACAATACATTGGCTCTGACCAGCCAGCTTAATGCTATAGTGGTTAGCTCTGTTGCCTCACAACGCCAGGGACACAGGCTTGATTCCAGCCTTGGGCTGATGTCTGTCTGTGTGGAGTTTGCACATTCTCCCCGTGTCTGTATGGATTTCCACCAGGTGCTCAGGTTTCCTCCCACAGTCCAAAGATGTGCAGGTTAGGGGAATTAACCATGGTAGTTGCTTCTGGGTGGGATGCTGTTTGGAAGGTTGGTGCAGAGTCAATGGACAAATTGGCCTCTGTCTACATTGTAGGGATTCTATGATTCTAAAAGAATGTCTTGTCATAAACAAGATATAGTTTATCCAGCTCTACACCTTATTATCTCAGACTCCAGCATCGGCAGTTCCTACTATCTCTCATAGTTTGCATCTCTGCAAGTATTTACATGTTACGAGGATATGGTATACATTTCAGAGCCTGATGGGAAGGCCTGGTCTTTGGTCTGACTCTTTCGAGATCCTTACTTACTCCCTCTTTCAGTCCTTGTGATATCATCGCAGTAGGTAGCACCAATGGCACTCAAGCAGTATTAAATCTTTCAGACTCATAAGTAAGATTTGCTCCAAGTTGTTTTTTAATATATTATTTCTATACATTTGTTTATGTAATTACATTAATCATAGCCCTGACTCTCTCCAATCTTTGCTTTTACAAATTCAGATGATTTGGAGGTTTTACTGTTCTCCCTGGCCATGTTCTCCATGAGCATGGAAGAATGGTAATTTCTGAAGAAGGTTCCGACCCAAAACAGCTTTCCAGCTCCTCCGATGCTGCCTGGCCTGCTGTGTTCCTCCAGCTCCACACTTTGTTATCTCTGATTCCAGCATCTGCAGTTCTTACTATCTCAAGAATGGTAATTTGTTGTCTCCGATTGTCCTTCTGATGGTCTGAGGTCTGTAGTTCTCTCTGAACTGAAGGATTTCTAATCCGTTGAATTTCTTTCATGGAGGATGTGGTCCTTGTTAACCCAGGCAATATTTTTCTTTGCAGTATATTAAAGCTGTGGACATTGGTAGTCCCTTCTTAGTGGTGACTCTCATGGAGCTGAATGCATCACATCTTCAATCTGTTTCAGCCTCAATCAGCATATATTTCTGTGCTGGAGTAGGTAGAACGATGACCTCAATTTGTTAAATAGTTTGGACTTTCTTGTTCACCCTCAGCAATTAAATTATTGGTGAAACCAATTTGTTCACTTCCTCAGTTGTATTACCTGAAGATGCACTCTTGCTTGGCATAATCTCCATTACTGTATTCGGGATTCTCCTGTGAAAGATAAGGAGGTCAAATATTCTGCTTGAACTTTTTTCTTCCAAGTCACTTTGGCTTCTAATGTCAGACTTGACTCTTTCATAACAAGTTGTTCACGAAGCTACATTGCAATCTGAGTTACTTCAGTTATAGATTCATAAGTTATCTCAAGTGGGATATATGCTTCATTAGCTGTTTCTTTGTTTGTGTTTCCTTGCAAGCCTTGCTGGATCTTGAGAGTCTGAACACTATTCAGTGTTGACAGCAGCGGAAAATTTTTCGACTAAGCCAGTGTAGTCCCAGCTTTCCATGTCATTGATATTAATTTATCTAAATTTCTTATTCCGACGCAGTTAACTCAGGGAATTCTGCTTTAAGATTATGTTCTGCCATGAGCTATGTAGCTCTGTAAAATTTTCTACCAGCTGTTTTTTGATGTTTTGTACTTTAACCTCTTCTGTCGTTTGAATGAGATTGATGACTATATATAGATTTCTACTCACAAGTGAGAATTGTTCGTTGTGAAGGACGTATAGGTTTTCTCATATATTGTGTCCAATATGTCAGAGAGATGTTTGTAGCATACATTATAATATTAAATGCTATGTCTGCTGGACTGGATAGTTGTACTTCTGTCAGCCTTAGACTGTAATTTTCCAATCGTGGTTCACCATCCGAAAATATTGTGACAGTTGCTTCTGTGCCAAACTTGAAATTCATGAGACGTCATGACATATACAAAAATATTAGGTCTAGGTCACCTGCTTCCCATAGGAAAACTTTGGTTTATCTTCTAGGAATTGGTCTACTTGTCTGTGTTTGCGTGGGTAGCTCTTTGATCTTTTTTTTTCTGTGGCCATGTCCTGCTTTGGCATGTTTTCTGAAAGCTGTTGTTATAGTAAAAGTATTATAATAAAAGAACATTAATAGCTGGGCATTGTTTGTACCTGTGAGGTTTACTTTTGTTCCACAGCATGTGCAAGGACTTTCAGTGTATTGCTGAAAAGACAAATTTTGTCAAAGCTTTTTGTCTTGCACTCATCAGGATAATTTGCAACACATTGGCCAATCAGAGTCTACTTGCTAACCAACCGTACTTACCTCTCATGCAGCATCAATATTGATTTTCTCCTTGAATTGATATTATCATGAATTGTCAAGATGAAAAGCTTTGATGAAAATGCATCTTGTTTTCAGCATTACTCAAGTTCTGTAACGTCCTACCCATATACAGCTTATCAAGTGTAGTTTTTTTTAGTTCTGCACCTGAAGAATTAAATGGTTTCTGATGATCTCCTGTGCCAAATTTGGTCTTCTCTGATTTGATCTGGACCTCTGCTTTACTCACCATTTGAAAGGCTTTTGGACTGTTATAGATCTGACTCAGCTATCATTAATGCCTACCATAATTTGGTTCCTTATAAATTCCGAATACAAGTCATCATATTTACATCTCTCCACTAGTCTATGGAGATCATTAACAAAATCAACTATGGATTCCTCTGGATGCTGCAAATCTTCCCATTCAAGAATTTTACTATGTCTGAGGTTGAAATGATTGCCAAAAGCTTTTGATATTTCTTCAATTTTATCTGTTGGTTCTCTGACATCCCACTGAGCTATAACGTCTGCTACACTCCCATGATACACAGAAGTATACTTACTTGATCAGCTCCTGACAGCATCCAGTTCAAAATTATGTTTATACTTCAAGAATTGTTTTCTCCAGGATACACAATATTGTGTACTGTTTTGCTCATTTCTGATGTGAAATCTTCCTGGCAGTACTTTTTCTGAAGCCCGATTTTCAAATATGGTTGGATACTTTAACTGCTTTGAAGATCTTTATTTTGCAGTGAAGCTGGTTCTTCTGTACTTTGCTGTAATGGAGGGTTTTCCTGCATTTTGTGGCTAAAGTGGAAGATTTTCACTTTATTGTAGGTTAATTGAAGACTCCCAAAAGAATTCCTTATTAGACCAGGACTGCTCAAATTTTCAATTTACCCAGTGCTTATGTAATTTTAACTGGTGAGTTTGTGATATCCCAGACTCTCTGATCCCAGATTACGAGTTTCTGCCTTGTAGTTGTTACTTCTATTTTTTTGTGTGCACTATGGCAGTGACACTCAAGCTGAACTGTAACTCAATTTATTTAAATTCTTGACCTTTCAGCCTGAATTGTTGTGCCATTTAAGGTTTCCCTTTTGTTCAGGAGTTTTTATTTTTTGACTAATGCAATCTCTGATGGCTGTTTGCCGACCAGTTCAACGTGGTCAAGGACAGCTCCCATAGTTCACCACTTTGCAAACCAGCCTGCACCTAAGGCTTGGAGCTGCAGATTTCCTCTGTTCCAGTGCACTTCTTATCATTCCAAAAATGCTTGCTGTTGTCCTTTGAAGTGTGCATCAGTGTTGAGTGTTGCCACAAGATTTTCTTTTTAGGGTTCATCAGATCTTCAGGTATCTACTAATGAACTTCATACTCACTGTGCGGCATGTGTGGGTCAATCAGTCTTCAGTCCTATCCACTGATGATTAATATTTAGAATGAAGCTAAAGCAAATCTTCATATCGGCTCCATTGCTCACCATGTTGTATGGTGATACTAAACACCATATTGGATACACTGCCATCAATACTTTCTAGTCATATGTCCCTCAACAGTCCATGTGGTCTACTATAAATGAAGATTGGCACTTTCTTGTCTAACTACATGAGTATCTTGTAGTAAACAACATATAGTTTATTGCACTTCTGCAAGTATTTACATGTTATAAGGATATGGTATATATTATTACAGAGGCTGGTGGGAGGACCTGGTTTTTGATCTGACTCCTTCAAAATCCTTCATACTCTCCTGTTATGTCCTTAAGAAGTTATTGCAATGGGTAGTGCTAATTAGTATTAACCATTCTTAGATTGTTTCAGACCCAAATAAACAATGGGTTGCTTTCAGTGGTCCCCCGTCTTTCCAAATGCTGGTTTCCTCAATTGGGCAATGTGTGGCTAACAAAGAGGGACCTTTCTATTGGGTAGACTGCTTCCCAATACAATAGGCCTTGCTCTGCCACCTTCTGTAAACACATGACAGCCATGCAATTCACAATTAATCTCCAAGCTATCGCCAAACTTCAAGATGCGGGGATAATTGCTGCCAACTGGCTTGCTTTGTGCATCAGCCCCTTCCCACCTCCCAACACCACTGTGGGTGGTCTTCCCACCACTGACAGACTGACACACAGCCTCTGCAGTGATTAAGTAGGCTTGGTCATCATGTTTCCTCATATGATGGGCGAGATTTAATTCCACCCATGCTTTAAAATGGCTTCTGTTGCCTATGTACCTTTTGGTTATTGGTCTGCTATATGTAAATAATGCATCAAATAATGCCAGCAAGTGTTTCAAGTAGGAGTGTTGGCAGTGATTAGGCTGTTATAGAAGCAGCAATAGATGGTAAACCTACCATTTTCATTATAAACCCATGAAGGTGCAAGACCAGAGAAATTTGGATCAGCTTCCTGTAGTAACAATTTGGAAACTGAAAAAGATTTTAAAAAGAAGCTTCAGTTAACTTAAAAACCAGCAATTACAGTCTTTGTCAAGTCTTGTAGCTTGTGAACCATACAATATTCACAGATCACGTTATGATAAAGTGTCTTCTATTGGTATATTTCAGATGCAAATAGGATGTTGCTTTTTCAAGTTCTGCATGACTGGACAGTCCCATAAATCTTCCTCATGTCCTCATGAACAGTGGTGACATTTTTATACTCCAATATCTACCATGGCCTAGGGATTATAACCTTGCAACATGTACCAGCTAACATATGCCACTGGCAGAGTGAAAAACATTCCTCCAATACAAGACATAATTTCAAATGTGCAACTAGTTTAGACTACATAAAATAAATGAACAAACAATATACAATTTGTAAGGTGAGATAATTCAGTTTTCCTATGAACATTGCTATGAAAAATAATCAGTACACCAATTGTACAATTCATTATAATCCTAAATAAAGCTCCAATTTCAAAGGCAGCAGATTGAAACCTGGTAAAAATGTAATAAAATGCTATTGCCATCTGATCCAAACTTAGTCGATTCACTGATGAAAACTTTATCCATTCTGTTGTTATCTCCAGACTCAAGGATCCCAATAGAACCTTAGCCAGTTTCCTATCCTCTATCCCCAATGAACTTCAACTCATCCTATATCTTGCTAAGATCCCAATCTTCTCTCTGGGCCCAAAAACCTCCAATTTAAAACATTCATCACCACCATCTTCATCATCATCATTATCGTCATCATTAAAACATCATCACCACCAGCCCCAACAGTACCATCCTGAAAATCTTTGCAATCCCCCCGAAACTGCACCCCCTTTCTTTGAACTCTCTATTGCTTTGGGATGAGTTTTAACACGTAGGAATGTATGAGTTTGGGAGAAGCTGGGAGTTAAAAGTGCAGAAGTTGATAGCATGTTGGAAATTGGCTACAATTTGTGACTTTTGCATGTAACTGAAACTCATGAGGGTACACTGAAGTACTCTGCTCATGTGGTTTTAATTTGCATTTTGAATGGGGATCAAGATGACCAGCAGCATCAACAGCACTAGGTGAAGAAAATAGATGCAGGGAGTACACCAGCAGGAGTATCAACAGCTGCCTCTGCATCGACCTACTGGTCCAAAGGAGACATGGATGAATAGAAAGGTACAGCTCACAAGAGTCCATACTAACCAAATAGGATAAACCTCATGATAGTCAGGGTTAGGCATCAGATGGTGGGAGATAGCTGCAATCTGCTGAAACATGTAAGATTGTCTGCAGGCCAAGCTTTAGAAGTGGTTACTGCTCTGAACTTCTTTCCTTTTGTTCCTTCAAGGGCTCTGCTGAAGAAATTTGCTACAGCTCCCAATCAAGTGCCCGCAGATACATACCATCAAGGACTAGTGGGTTATTTGTTGGGATAGGCAATTTTGTCAAATTTGCCATTGATGATGCCAGTCACATTGTGTGATGCTGAGTCTTGTACTTCTAGCTAGCTTTCCATAGGCTCCAATCCAGTTGTCCAACTGCAGATACAGTATTGGCATCTACTTGACAAAAGATTGTTCCATTTTCTTCAGTCCACCAAAACTAGGAAAAAATTGATCAGATGTGTTCTGTCCACATAAAAGTGGGAATAAGCCTATATGACCAATTACCACCTCCTTATTCTATTCTCAATAACCACCAAAGTAACAAAAGGTGTTATTGACAGCACTATTAAGTGGCACCTAATCACCAAAAACCTGCTCATTTATCATCAGCTGTGTTCCACCAGGACCACATAGCTTCAAACCTCAGTACAATTTTAGTCCAAACATTGCCAAAAGAGTGAAATTCCAAAGGTGAGGTTGACAGCCTTGACATCAAGACACGTTTGACTGAGTGTGGCATCATGGAGCCCTAGAAAAACTCAAGTCAATGGGAATCAGAGAAATTTCTGCTCTGGTAGATGGCTGTGGTTGTTGGCATCCAATTAACTTCTCTTTTCAGGAGTTAGTCGGCGCAGTCCCCTTGGCCCAAAGATCTTCAGCTGCTGATCTATGGCCTCCCTCCATCAAGTCAGAAGTGAATAGACAAATTATGGGCAGGAGCAGTCAGGTCCTCAATCGGGATCTGTCATTCAAGAAGATCATGGCAAATCTGATTACTTCATACTTCTGCCTACCCCTGATAAACTTTCACCCCCCCTTGATTATCAAGAATCTGTTTACCTCCAACTTAAAAATATCCAAAACCTCTGTTTCCACCATCTTTTGAAGAAGAGTGTTTCAAAGTGTTACAGCCCACTAAGAGAAAAACATTCTCCTCTTCTCTCTTAATAAGCAGTTGAAAAATGAATTGAAAGGTATTTTATATCATTCTTCACTGCTGAGGATGTAAGTAATATCCTGGATATAGCTATAATGAAATGGAAAGAAAAGGAACTCAAGAATATTACAAAATCACCAAGGAGAGGTACTGGGTAGATTGATGGAGGAATGTGTTGACTCTAGGCTGTTAAAAGAAGTCAGTGAAATTATGGATACAATAATTTTAATTTTCCAAATTCCCTACATTTGGAGAAGGTTCCATTAGATTGGAAAATAGCAAATGTAGCTTCTTTATTCAAAAATAGAGGGAGACAGGAGCGGGTAAGTATAGCCAGTCAGCTTGACATCTGTCCTAGGGAAGATTTCACAAAGTGTTAATAATGACATTACAGCGGAGTGCTTAGAAACATCCAAATCAATCTGCTGAACAAACGTAGGTTTGTGAAAGGGAAATCATTTTTAACTGAATAGCTGAAGTTCTTTGAGCAAGCAATGTGTTCTGTAGATAATTGGAAAAGGGTGGATACTCTGTACTGAGATTTACAGAAGATGTTTGATAAGGTGCCACATCAAAGGTTGTTGCAAAAAATAAAAGTTCATGGTATAGGGGTAATGATGCCATCGATAGAAGATTGGCTAGTGAACAGGAAACAGACAGCAGGCGTGAACATGTCATTTTCTGGTTGATAAGCTGTAAGATTATTCTGTCTCATAAAGCAGCGCTGGGACCTCAATTGTACACAATTTATATAAATGACTTGGATAAAGGGCTCGAATGTAAAATTGCTCAAATTGCTGATGATGCAAAGGCAAGTTGGGAAAGTAAGTTGTGAAGAAGACATAAGGATGCTGGAAAGAAATAAAGATGTCAGTGGGCAAAGTTCTAGCAAATGGAATATACTGTGAGAAAATGTGAAATTATCTGTTTTGGCAGGGAGAATAAAGAAGAAGCATATTATCTAAATAGCGAGAGGTTGCAGAGCCCCGAGATGCAGAGGGATCTGGGTGAACTACTGCATGAATCGCAAAAGGTTAGTCTATAGATATGGTATTCAATTAGGAAAGCTAACATGGAATGCTTTAGTTTATTGCGAGGGAAATTTAGCTATCATACCTTCACTCTCCACATCTAAATTGTTGATGTAAATTGTAAAATCTTGACGCCCCCACATACACACTGTGTGGCCCTCACACTCTACTTATCATATCCTGCTAATCAAACAAAGATCTGTTTATGCATCCTGTCTGTTTTCTGCCAATAGCCAATCTTCTAACCACGTTAATTTGTTATCCCCTAAACCACAAGCTTTCATTTTCCTCAATAACCTTTCAGGTGGCATCTTATGAAATGCGTTCTGGAAATCCAAGTATAATACAGCACATGTTACTCCTTTAAAGAACACCTATAAATTGGGTAAATATACTTTCCCTTTGATGAAATCATGCTGACTCTTCCTGATTACCTTGAGATTTTCTAAATGTACAGCTATAATCTTTTTAATGATTAACTCCAACACCTTCTCCACAACAGACATCAAGTGAACAGGTCTTTAATTTCTTGTTAAATGCCTCCCTTCCTTCTTGTATGTGGGGTTATATTTGCTCCATTTAATTCCAATGGAACCTAGGAAATTTTGGAAATTTAACACTAATGCATCTATTGGCTCATTAGCCACCTTTTTTACAACTCTAGGACAAAGTTCACAAGGCTCCTTAGACAGCATCTTCCAAACCCATGACCACTACCATCTAGAAAGACAGGAGCAGCAGATACATGAAAACACCACCAACTGAAAGCTCCCTTGAAACTACTCGCCATGCAGACTTTGAAATATATCAACATTACTCCATTGTCGCTGGGTCAAAATCCTGGAATTCCTGCCCTAATGGCAGTATGGGTCAACTCATAGCAGATAGATTGCAGTGGTTCAAGAAGGCAGTTTCCAACACTTTCTCAATGGCAACTAGTGATGGGAAATGAATGGTGGTCTAGCTAATGTGACATCCACATCCTGCAAATGAATTAAAGAAATCCATCTGAGCCTGTAAAAACCATAAGATATAAGAGCAGAAGTAGGCCATTCAATCCATCTAGTCTACTCTGCTATTCAACAACATCATAGTTTACCTGATAACCTCCAACACCACTTTCCTACCTTTTCTCCAGACTCCATGATTCTCTTACTGAATAAAAATCTGTCCATCTCAGCCTTGAATATCTAACCAGCTTTGACAGCTCTCTGCAGCAAAGAATTTCACAGATTGACCACCCTCTGAGAGAAAAAATTCCTCCTCACCTCTGTCTTAAATAGACAACTCCTTACATTGAAATTATGTCCTCTTGTCCTAGACTAACCAAAAAGAGGAAAGAACCGCTCCGCATCTACCCTTTCAAGCCTACTAAGAATCTTGTATGTATCAACAAAAGTCTTCTCATTCTCCTAAACACCAATGAATACAAGGCTGACCTACTCAACCTCTCCTTGTAACAAAATTCCTCCACACTCGGGATCAAATTAGTGCCCTTTATCTGGACTTCCTCCAATGCCAGTATATCTTTCCTTAGACAAGTGGACCAGAACTGTTTGCAGCATTCCAGATGTAGTCTGACCACTGCCTTACATATTTCTAGCTATACCTCCCTGTTTTTATACTCCATTCCCTTTGCAATAAAG